TGACCACAGATTCATTGACCGAGTAGCCCAAAACCGCCAGTACAGCCGCCAAAACGGACAGCGAGAACTCCCACTGAAAAAAGGCGAAGAAGCCCAAAATGATCACCACGTCGTGCAAGTTTGCAATGATGGCCGCAACAGCAAATTTCCACTCAAAGCGTATCGCCAAGTACACCACGATACCGGCTATCACAAAAGCCAACGCCTTCAAGCCATTGCTGAAAAGCTCGTCGCCCACCGAGGGGCCCACAAACTCGCTGCGCTTAATTTGCACATCCGGCGTTTGAGCCTTTAATTGGGTCAGCAACTCCTGGCTCTGCTGCGCAGAAGACAAGCCCTTTTTAACTGGCAAACGGATCAGCACGTCTTGCGAGGAGCCAAAGTTTTGCACCTGGATGTCTTTGTAACCGAGCCCACCAACAACGCCGCGAATAGCCTCTAGATTGGCAGGCTGGCTATACGCAGCCTCTACCAAAGTACCGCCCGTAAACTCTACCGACAAATGCAGACCGCGTGTAAGCAGAAAAAACACAGCCAGCGCAAAAGTGAGAAAAGAAATCACATTAAACACCAAGGCATGGCGCATAAAAGGGATATCTTTGCGGATGCGGAAAAATTCCATATTACTTAAATCCTCAAAAACGAGCAGGTATCAACCACCAGAAGAGAGCCGCAAGGCTTAGACCACTTCAAGTTCCGTTTCTTCTCCATTAGAGCGTACAGCCCCACCCTCCGGCCGCCAAACCGTACCGATGGAGAGCTTTTGCAATTTCTTCTTGCCCCCGTACCACAAGTTCACCAAAGCCCGTGAGAAAAATACGGCCGAGAACATGCTGGTCACTATGCCCAAACAATGCACCACAGCAAAACCACGTATCGCACCAGAACCGAAGGCCAGCAAAGCCAGCCCCGCAATTAAGGTCGTGATGTTGGAGTCGAATATCGTTGCCCAGGCACGCTCATAGCCAGCGGCAATCGCCTTTTGAGGGCCTTGCCCGTTGCGCAACTCCTCTCGGATGCGCTCGTTAATCAGTACGTTGGCATCAATGGCCATACCCAGCACCAGGGCCATCGCCGCCATACCAGGCAAGGTAAGCGTAGCCTGCATCATGGACAATACCGCCACCAACATCAAAAGGTTAAAACCCAAGGCGAGCGTGGAAAATAGGCCAAACATCGCGTAGTACACGCACATAAAAAAGGCCACCGCCAAAAAACCATATTTCACGCTGTTAAAGCCGGAGGCGATATTTTGTTCACCCAAGCTCGGGCCAATGATGCGGCGCTCAATAATTTCCATCGGTGCCGCCAAAGAGCCCGCGCGCAGCAATAAGGCCGTATCTGCCGCTTCGACGGCCGTCATAGAGCCGCCCGTAATTTGCACATGCCCGCCACTGATGCGGTCACGGATAACGGGAGAAGTCACGACCTCCCCTTTGCCTTTTTCAAACAACAAGATGGCCATGCGTTTACCAATATTCTCACCCGTGACCTGTTGAAAAATATCCGCTCCCTTGGCATCTAGCGCAAGATTCACCGAAGGCATTTGGTTTTGATCAAAGCCCGCTTGCGCATCGGTTAAATTTTCGCCCGTGAACAAGACCGTGCGCTGCACAATAATAGGACGCTTGTCCTTATCAAAAAATCGTTCTGACTCAGCGGGCACATCGCCGCCACTCAATTCCGCCGCCTGCCCCTCAGCCGACTCATCCACCATGCGCACTTCCAGCGTGGCAATACGACCCAAAATTTGCTCCACCCGCGCCACATCTTGCACCCCGGCCAGTTGCACCACAATGCGGTCCGTGCCTTGCTGCTGAATCACGGGCTCAGAGACGCCCAATTCGTTCACGCGATTGTGCAAAGTAGTCATGTTTTGTTTTAAGGCCTGCTCTTGCACA